CTTCCTCCAAGGACCGCTGGAGCTGGAAGGCCACCACCTTCTCAACAACCTTCCCCAGGAAGGGGAGGTTGGAAACTGGACGATAGTTATTAAGGATAGCTGGATCCAAAGATGGCTTCTTCAGGAGTGGTCTCACCACCGCCGCTTTCAGTGCGGCGGGGAAGTTCCCCTCCCGAAGCGAGGCGGTCACAACCGCCTGGATCCAGCCTTGTGTCACCTCACTGCAGTTAGTAACCAGCCATGAGGGACACGGATCCAGTACACAGGTGGAGGTACTTACAGCCCTCATGGCCTTGTCCACATCCCCAGGGGTAACGTCCTGAAACTCAACCCAGAGCTGTTCTAGTTGATCCTCCTGTGCCTCGGCTGGAACTGCGGGGGTGGAGTCCAAGTCCGGAAGCAGTTGCAAAGGTTTCTAAAGAAAGCAATAGCATTTAGCATTAACATTTAGGTTTATGTATCACCCCATAATACTTTACAGCACTCTCTGGATGGTTTATATTGCAAGCTTTATTTGCATATTTCCCCCAGCAGTCTGGGTCCTCATTTTACAGATCTTGGAAGGATAGAAGGCTGAATTAATCTTGAGCCCTGTCAGGGCTGAGCTGCAGGTTATGGGCAGAGTTTGCCTCCAATACTACACTGTAACCACGGTGCCACCAGGTCTCCTGTGCACCATCACATTGTCATCAAAAGGTGATATTCTCTAATACTCATACAAAAGGGATAGATATCAGTCTATGAGAATACTATTATTTAGGCATAAATAATATTCAATTAAACTTAACTTAAATTCACTAAAAAGCAACACAACTCCGTAAATCTGAGCAAGTTCAAGAAGTGCAAAATATTGGGCTGCTGTGGAGAAAGATAAAAACATGGAAGACACAGGAATTGAAAAGAAAGGGAGTAGCTTCTCGAGATGTTTAGCTTCTCAGCCAAGAAGCTTGTTTGACTCCGCTGAAGAAGTTTGGATGAGAAGCAAAATATCTTCAAAGAAAAAACAGAAAGTCCAGTTGCCTCTTGAAAAAACACCTTTGCGAATGAATGAGATCCACAGCAAAATGTATGTCTGAAGCAGGAAAATAATTATTTAAAATATAATAATAAAAATAACAAAGTAATAAAATGAAAATAACTACAAAGGCAAGCTGCCAGGGGTGAGATGATGTCATTTGTGTTCTTAAAATGGTGAGAGATTATCTTCCTGCTGTGGTTAGTAGGATGTGAAAATGAGCCTTGATCAAACCAGTTTGACCACAGCTATTATATTAGATACCTTGTCTAATACAAGATTTGTTTTGCTAATCATTAGACAGGCATAGATTTCTTTTTCTCACAAAATGTGGCAATGTGGAAAGCTGATGTCTAGTTCTAAACTACATCTAGTCAGTTATTTTGTTTTTTCCTTGAAAATGTTCACTTCTCATCCAAGAAGCATCTTGGATGAGAAGCACAATGTTTTCAAGAAAAAAAACCAAGTAAGTCCAGTTGTCTTTTGGAAAAGCGCTTTGGGGACAACCATGACCTGGATGATTAAGAATCTCCATGGACCAGAGGTGGGTTCCTACCAGTTCGCACCTATTCGGTAGAACCGGTTCGTCAAAT